GCTTTGATCGAGTCTTCAGAATAAGATCGATGAATACGAGAGGGAGATCAAGAAGTTGAGGCTGCAGATGGAGTCGTACCAGGGCCCTACTTCGTAAGAGCTGAAATCGCTGATCAAGCAGCTGGAGGATGAGAAGAACAACGTGCTGATAGAGTCAGGAAATCAAGTAGAAATCGCTCTCGCGCACATGGATTTCGATAATTACAAAGCGATTCTGCAATCAATTACATTCATTCCTTCTTATTATCGCAACACAAACGTTTTCCAGAAGTTCATAGAAAGTTCAAAACATTACTTTCTATAACATCAATCAGACATTGACTAGATGACGCTTTTCAGCATTTTTTTCAACATTTCATACGAGTATGTAACGAATGCAGCAATTTTTTGTTATGCATCGACTAAATTCGAATTGGGAATTCCTGTTAATACTCCTTTTTCGGAGTGTAACATAATTACTACTTTCCTTTTATCCCGAATTTTGGGATTATTGGTTGCCGATGGCTTTCGTCCAAACTGAAATTCAATCACTTTGCTCTTCCACCCCACATCTCTCTATCTCTCTCTCTTTATTTGTGAATGTCTATGGTCCTCTTGGCACAAGTATAAAGTCATTTTTTTCCTTTTTGTATTTACTTTGATCGATCAGAAAATAAATAGGAATAGATATGTCTGGAGGGGTTTTCACTGTGGACTTCCTCAAGACTCGCGTAGAAATTGTTTTCAAATGCAATTTTAAACTTATTTCCCAAAAAAATATAATCACATTTGAACGTCTATTTTTATATATAAGAAGTTAAGCAACGTGTGTTACATTAAGTAACTTTTGTTACGTCATAAATTTCGTAACGGTTGCGTCAAAAAAATGCAAACAAAAGTTGTGTAACTTTCGAGTAATTAAGAAAAAAAATCTCATAGCAGATGAACTATCAGTAAGACTCTCAGATTTAATTTGAGTATAGAATTATGCAATTAGCTCGCTCGATTCTTGATTAATTCACTAAAAACTGTAGAAATCAAGAATCGTCGTTTCTAGGTTACGTAATGATGAACATTGCGTAACTTTTCTTGCACAAGGGTGGCGCCCTTCTAACAATAAAAAAAATGTAAGAAAGTTACGTAACTTTCGAAGAAACTTATAAAAAAAAACAACAAGGAAAACTGAAAACTCGTCAAATTTCAACGCACGTTGCGTGATTATGCAATAAAATAAGTGAAAACTTATGTGATTTGCTTATGTAATCGCTTATTTCTATATATTTTGATAAATTAGCACAAAATAAATATATGGAGATGTATATTTGGTTGCCTATAATAAACAATTTGAAAACTAGTAAAGTATAAAATATAAATTTCAGTAGATTCAATCGAAAAGTGAAGGTCTTCAGTTTATGATTCTTATTGAAATATATAATTATCCTGTGTAGTTATTATAAAATAAATGAGAACGTGGAAATGGTTCTTTTCTACGACACTTTTAACAGCTCATAACATACAAACGGATGATAATAGAAAGTTGTCAATAAGTTATTTGGAAAGATGAGACTTTTAGCTTTGATTTTCATATTTTATTATTGAGAGACAGCTCAATTTCTAATATAATTTTTAGATTCTAAACAAGATTGTCGAAGTATATTTCTTTGTGTGAAGAAATCTTGTTTGCTGGATGTCGGTTAGTAGTGTTACAGCACGCTCGATACGTTACAGGCGTGTGTGTGTATATGTATTAAGTGATGTAGGGTGTAGAAGGGAGTGAAATTGAATAAGGCCAATAAAAATGCGTTTTGGCGCTTCAATAAAGAAAATATATTTATCAGACTGTATGGATTCGGTCTTGAATGGCAACAGCTCGTGTTACAAAGTGCTTTCCACCACATACACACATACAAATTCTTATATACGTATACATATATATAGTTAGACACAGAGATATGCAGAAAGGATGGATGGAGTAGTAGTGGAAGAGGAAGAAGGATAAATACGGATCGCAAGTAGAAGAAGGAGGTGATGGTGGTAGGAGGAAAATTTACATTTTTCACCCCATTTTGTCAAGGCAAATCTCCGCTCCGGCATCGTATTATTATTCAATAAATATTTTCACAATAAAGAATCCTGAGCGTACGAAAACGGTCCTACGACTTTAAACCCTGCGCATCCACCATATATACTTGTACATCCATATTTATATAAATATATATATTGAGAGATAGATGCGAGAGTGTTTTTTTTTGCAATGAATATGTTATTTCGGGGATGGCTATTCCTTCTCGATCTTCTTTTTTTTTGGTATTGTTTTGTTTCAGTCGGTGCTTTATAGAAGAATCGATACGTGTGCGATTGTTCTACATGAGAAAAGGAGAGAACGCGAGTGTTTTGTAGAATGCGATTATTATTTATTACCTTTTCGTGTGCAGTCCGTCGCTGCCGCCGCCGCCGCCGCCTATCTGACTCCTTCTTCTTCGTCCTCCTTTTGCACCTCCTCAACCGAGAGAAAAGAAGGGTTGGCGGTGTATTCACCACCTTTGATCCTTTTTTTTTTTGCTGTGGATTACTCTACGTACTGTCACATTTCGCACCGCACACGCACCAGTGCACCCACCCCCGACTATTATCCTTCGTTTTCTTTTTTTTTTTTTAAATTACTATTCTATACTATATGACTCGATCTATTTTTTTGGTTTGAAATTTTTAATTCACCCCGAGCGCCGAAATTCGGATGGTGTTGTGTATCTGCGATGGCGGTGACAGGGTTGGAATGGATACGAGGAGAGAGAGAGAGAGTGAATGGTATCGAGGAGGGTGAATGAATGAATGAATGAGTGTGAGAAAGACAGAGAGATAGTGATGGAAATGTTGGTCGGTTGGTGACGCCCCAACTGAGAGAACACACATATACACACGGGACAGGTACGGCAGCGAAGCGGGCTGTGGCTGAGGGCTGCTACTGGCTGCTGGTGGCTCTTCGGCACTGCGCGTTCTCGCAATCAATAGCCGTCCGGGACGCACGTACGTATCGCGCGAGGCCCTTTTGCCCAACCGAACGAACCCCTCACGACGACGCTGACACCCCCGCAATCATAGATCACAGATGCCGCCACCGGACGACGAAAGTTGCAGGACGCTTCTCCACCACCACAGACACGCAAAACTGAAGAGAAATCATCCAAAAACACTTAAAACTGTTGCATTCTCTTCTACAGACTTTTCAATTTCCATATTGACTTATCATAATTAATCAAAATTTTGATAAAATTGCGCAAAAAAATATATGCAGCTCAAATATATATAATAAACAATTTGAAAACTAGTAAAGTATAAAATATAGATTATTTTCAGTAGGTTCAATCGAAAAGTGTTTAAGATTCTTATTGAAATATATAATTATCCTGTGTAGTTATTATAAAATTAATGAAAACTTGGGAACGGTCCTTTTCTACGACACTTTTAACAGCATACAAACGTATAACAATAGCTTTATAACTTATCATTATATATCAAATGTAATTGTTGTAACTTTTGCTTAAGAAATTCTAACTTATTCAAGTTTAAAAGTTTTGTTTTATATGTAAAAATAAAATTATCTATTTACATAAGCAACAATCTTTCGCTAAAGATAATTAGTTGAAATTAATAAAAATATTTAAAATTTGAATTTCAAATTTTTGAATATATTTTTATATTTCTCCAACAGAAAGCGCCAAAATAAAAATGATTATTAACGTAATTCGGTTCTACCAAAGAATAAATTAATTAAATGTGTATTAATAAATATCTACAACATTAAAATACACATTATACTATATACTTAAATACAATTAAAAGCGTAATTAAAAATTGTTAATTGATACAGCGCCAAAACGTCTAAACTATAAGCTTACAAACAATCCAAAAGTTGGCGCTAATTAAAATACTTCTTCTTCTTCCTTCCCCATCTTCATTTGGTTTATTCTTCGGATTTCTTCTTCCGTCCAAATAGTTAAGGCAACCAGCTTCTTCCAATTACACCAAAAAAATCCCTCTTCAAAACAAATAATCAAAATAAACGACTTCTTCTAACGAAACTAAAAAACAACTATTAATTTCAACTTAAACTGACTTCTATAAAATATGTAAATATGTAATTAAAATAATCGTCTGATGTTAATTTGAACGCCACCTGTTGGATCAGTTTCAAGCGTTTAGTTCAGCAGTTTTAGCGCTGTACCAATTTAGATTTATATAATTATAGCTTTAATTAGAAAACTATTTTATTATAAATAAGTCAATTCATTATTTGGGTTTTTTGTAATCATTATTTTAAATTTATTGTTCAATTATTAAAGTGGTTTTGCGTGATTGAAGATTGTAGTAAAGAACCACCTGTTGTTGATTAAATGAAGTATAATGATTTTCAAATTTAAAATTGATTTACTTTTGCTATGTGCATTAAATTAAAACTAATTACTGAATATAATTAATAGTTTAAATCAATGTACTTCAAATATGCATTTTGTTAGGTTCAATTAGGTGATCAACGAGTGCAATATCATATTAAAATTGAATGAGATTTTGTATAATTGGTTGTATAATGTATATTATTAAAGAAATGTATGTTGTTAATTTGTGAAATGTATTGTATTTATTGATATATATGAATAAGTAATTTATTTAGGTTAAATAATGAATTAATTAGAGATTAATTAGGGGAAAGCGCAACAACCCTGTCGTAGGACAGGTGAGTTATTTTAGTAAAAGAGGGGTAGATTGCAAAGTATTGATTGATTTCGAAAAGAGATGAGAGCGTATTAATATTGCTGTGTCCACGGTGAGGAGCCACCAAAATCATTGATTCCATCTCACATCATTTAATATTATATCATCTGTGATGATGTAATATTGAATAGTTCGAAATTATTGAAATTAAGAAACGAATTTGAATTCGAAATATGCTTTGTGATGAACAGCTATCTTCACTCCAGTTATTGGTTTTACAGAAACCTGTACTTGTTCTGACGTGCCCTGGAAGTATATCTAAATTCACGATGATTATTATTTAATATAGTTTACGTGCAGCACACCAACTTGCATGTTTTTCTTGAATACATCATATCCGATGCATTGTCATTTTGTGTTAATCAAGTGTAAGTGAGTGGAACAGAATGAGTAACCCTTTTGCAGGTCTGCTGGGCCATGACATGCCCTCAACATCGTTTTCATCTCGATCAACTGCTGAGTTGCAGGAGTGTCAAGTGCTGGAGAGGATTTTTGGGTTCACATTGAGCAAAACGAGAAGTCAGGAGCAGCAGCTAGTGTTCATGGATGAGCAGGCTCTTATCATACTCGATGACATATTGAATATAGATGAGCTGAATGTGATCCTGTTCGAGAGGCTCTTCATACAGAACGCTGGCAATAGCTCACCTTGGTTGAAAGGTGATAAGATTGCCAGCGATAAAGGTTACTATGAAGATCGAGTTATCAAGTATCTTTACCATTGCTATGTCAACAATATTGAGGAGGAAGAGTTTAAGCACAAGGATAAGACAAAAATAAAGATTGTGGACAATGTTGCGACGGCGTTTCACCAGCCTGACTTGTTTTTCGGGCAGGAAGTGTACGAGCAGATGATCGAGTTGCTCAAGGAGAATGTGCCATACATTGAAATGTTTTTTAACGATATTATCAACAGAATTCACGAGGAAGGTAAACACATTGTTCATAACTAATATTATATAATCTCCAATGAATTATTTATTTTTGCTTGTAGGTGATAGTCTGAAGGAACCAATCGTAGCTTTGCTGAAAATAATCCATGCATCAGTTTCGAAAATGAATTTGATGTCTTTGGACTACGCCACTTTGGATATCATCAAAGTGTTCACGAAAACTGATGAAGTCGCCAACGTGTTTCTTGATTACAACACTCCTGCTAACGCCACCTCCGGAATTGACTATTCGCACACCTTGTTGGGTTCTCTGCTGAATTTATCCATTTTACCTAAACATCCCAGCGGCCCTTACGACTTCTTCCAAACCCCCTTGGATCCGGTAAATACTATCAACAGCTTAGAAGGAATAGTTACAATAATTTCATCGTTTTAGGCAAGCATAACTGCTACAGAAAACATACTCTTCACCAACATGGATAAGATAACGCAGCACATTCAAACTTTGATCCTGAACTTGCTCAAGTGCAGGAAGACGGCGCGATTACGAATCCTGGGTTGGATCGGATCCTGTTTGAAGGCAAACGCCGACCGCGGGAAGCTGTGGAATACGCAGATACACGAAATAATGACGCCTGCGACAGTCGGCGATGGTTTCATGCTGAACCTGGGAAATGTACTGATGCGTCTCTGCCAACCGTTCTGCCAAGGCGACAATTTCAAGAAGATATTAAAAGTTGATCCCACTTACTGCGCCGTTCCAGTAATTATTGTCTGCTCGATTATCGTATGTGTTTGTAAATTAACTTTCGTTTTAGGAAGCTGATTATGAGAATAAGAACGTCCATTTGCCCGGTATGTACAACGAGACTTGTCTTCTTCCCATGGAGGAGAGTAACGAGAACGAGTTAAGAGTGACCGCGCTCCACTACACTTTCGTCACTGAATGCTTCTATATGGGTCACAAAGCTTTAGAACTGGGGCATAAAATCGTCGTAGATAAATTGGTGAAATTGAATCAGGTAAATTTCACAACTTTATACAACTTGGATTTGATTAAATGAATTTGTAGGAAATCGGCCGCATCGAGAGGGCTTACAACAATGCGATGGCAGAGGAAAGGGTTTTGGGTGAGGTAATCGATACCATCAAGAATAAGATGTCCACGGAAATGGCAAGGTAATAATTATGAAAAACATAAGTTATTTATATAAATAAATAATATATGTTTTGTTTATTTAGGTACTTAACAATTAAGGCTTCTTGCTCTGAACCGGTGATGCTTGAGATGATCTTCAACTTCACCTCCGCCACAGCCTATTGGTTGTCTCAAGTTGCCTTCTACGATGGCGGCTTTGACATCTCTTACGCCCCACAAATCTACAGAGTTATCTCGTTCCCATTGGACAGCGACGTACCTGATACACTGAAGTAATTAACAAATTAATCTCGGCAAGATAAAGAAGTTAATTATATTTCACTTTCAGATGCATTCCCGAATCGATCCTTGAGAATATCGTTGGTTACCTTGTATTCCTGAGACGCTTCTTTCCGAACGTTTTCGAGGAAAGAGGTTTCGAACAGATGCAACCCATACTGACCTTCATTGTGATCTTCATGGGTTCCACTAACTACATGAAGAATCCGCATCTGAGGGCTCGATTGGCGGAGGGTTTGGAAGCGCTGTTGCCCTTCCACAAGGAGCATCCGCCCGGGTACAATTCGTTGGGAGGATTTCAGCGAGAGATGCTGTTCAAAACGCACGAACATCGACTTCAGGTTAAATTAAATTCTATATCGATCAATCAATCAATTGATGTGATTATTGAATTGTTATTGCAGATCGTCGAAAGCTTGTTGGAAGTTTTCGTGGGCATCGAGATGACGGGTCAGAGCGTACAATTTGAGCAAAAGTTCAATTACAGGAGACCCATGTACGCGATTATCGATTACATTTGGAATTTGGAGGAGCACAGGCAAATTTTCCAGCAAGTTGATTTGATTTTGATATCGAAACAGCATTAATTAATTAAATTTGGATTTCTTTAGGTATTTGGCGAGGAGGGCTGAACACAGCATGGACGACGTGACACCGCCTCTGTTTCTGCGTTTCATAAACCTCTTGATGAACGACGCCGTCTTCCTATTGGACGAGGCTTTGTCTAATATGTCGAAACTGAGAGAAATGGAGATGGCTAAGTTTGTGATCACGTTTTAAAGCTATTATTTTTGTTTTATTAATTTCATTTTTTGTAAATTTAGAGAAAACGGTGAATGGGACGAATTGTCGACGACGGAACGCGCCCAGAATTTGGGCTACATGAATCACATCGGTATGATGGCGAAATTCGACAACATCTTGGGAAGAGATACCATCAGGACGTTGGTCAATCTGACATCCGAAATTCAGATAGTTTTCACGCACGGAACGATGGTGGATCGAGTCGCCGCTATGCTCAATTATTTCCTATTGAACCTCGTCGGGCCGAATCAAAAGAATTTCAAGGTAACTTTAATCGTTTCTACTGTTATATGGCTAACGTTTCATGAATATTAGGTCAAGGATAATCAGGAATACAGCTTCGAGCCGGCGACGACAGTCGTGGATATTTGCAGCATCTACGTTAACCTGAAGGAAAACGAAGCGTTCTGTTTGGCCGTTTCACAGGATGGAAGGTCGTACAGTCCGCAGCTGTTCGGGTTGGCGCAGAACGTTCTGGCGAAGATCGGTAAAGGTGGATTGGTTGGGGAGATGGTGGAGGTCGCTTCGAGGGTTACCAAATTGGCTGAAGCGCATCAGGCCAGCGAGGAGGTCATCTCCGAAGCTCCAGATCACTTCTTGGATCCGATCATGTCGACATTGATGTACGATCCGGTCATCCTACCGAGTTCCAAGCAGACCGTCGATCGCACAACCATCGCCAGGTAACATCTACAATTTATCCAAAATCTTAATTGAATAGAGAGGCAAATTTTAGGATTAAATCATTATTGTTTTGTGTTACAGACATCTGTTGAGCGATCAAACCGATCCTTTCAATCGTTCTCCTCTGACGATGGATCAGGTCGTACCTAACAAGGAATTGAAGGCCGAGATTGACCAATGGTTGATCGAGAGGCATATATGTCCTAAAGTTTAAGTTACTAGTACATAATATATATATATATAAAAAAAAGTAACTAAATGTCATTGAGTTTGCTCGCTCAAACGTCAAGTCAACGATCATTCCACTAAGGCTAGTCTTTAAAGAAATTATTCTTTATATAGAAAAAGAAACAAGATTTTCTTCAGCGACTTGACTTCTTTTGATCGAGCATCCTTCAGAAATCCAAGAATAAATTGAAACCTTCCTTTCAACCTACTATATATCTACATGTCTATGAATGTCTTAAGGAAATTTTTATTTATTATTGTGTAAATGTCCACCTCCCCCCTCCCAAAAAAAAAAAACGAAGAAAAAGAAGAGAAATAAAGTACATAATGGCATATATATAAATAAATGTGAAGAATGTCTCGATTGCGAAATCGAGAAAGAAAGAAATAAATAAATACAAAAAAAATAATGTGTAAATCTAGCGTGTTTGTAATTAATTTCCATCGATTTGACGTAATTCCTCGCTCTTGTTTACACTCAGGTACGAAAATAGAGGGTTAAAAAATGTTGATAATGATATTTGTGGATTCGATCTGTTTCCCAATTGGAATTCAGCAGTTTTTATTTTTATGAAGATCAATTGCGAATGAAATTGTTTTTCAAAATAGTTTTAAACTTTTAGTCGGTTGTTTCAAAACAGTCGTTATGGTGTATAAACAAACAAAAGTTGTTATTTCAGTTGATTTCCGGTTTCGGTGATTGCAGTTTGTAATTTCTAATAATTTTCGTGTTTATAAACATTTTTTTGGTGTTTGTTGGAAATGAAGTGCGTTTGCAGTAATGTTACAGGTAGGAAATATTGTAATTTGCATGTTACAGAGTTTAATTTAATTAATTTGAATTTTTTTTTTTGACAATTCGATTGGGGTGATTTGATTTTGTTTTTGGAATTGATCGTGCGGCTATGATCAATGTGTTCTCAATAAATATGATGACGTTTCCGTACTTTATCAATTGATGATTCAAATATGTTTTTATTGAGTACAATAAACTCATTAACTGAGGAAAATACGTTTTCTGTGCGCGAGAGATGAGTGAATTAGGTTGTTTCTTCTATGAACACGTCGCAATCTCCCATAAGCTTCGGCTTTTGTGTTTGCGTCTATGAGTTTAGGAGAAGACTGGGAAATCTAATTAATTCGCATTTGCGCTCGCTGCATTTTGTAGCCAAGTCGATTTAATATCACCGCCAGTCGGCGATCTTTCAGGAATGTTTTGGTGCGGATGAACGAACCTATTTGTGTGTGTGGGGGCGGTAGCAGCGGCGGGGATCCCGTCGGCAGGTTGCTATCGTTACACGTCCACCGCCGGTGAATCGTTAAAACCCTTATTCCGAACGTTCGGTTGCGTGATCGGTTCTGTACGATTTATTAAATGCAAAGACACCGCCTGAAACAAAACAAAACAAAAAAAAACGACAGCGCTCTGAAAGTATTGAAATATACTGAAAAAAAAAGCGGAGTTTCACTTAACGACTTTACAAGTAACTTGTTCATGTAC